GAACCTCAATTTTATTAGCTTTCAGAAATGCTGAAGAATTAGTGCACTGTTTTTAAAGTGCCTCATGGAGTCAGATTCTGGGGCTTTTACTGCTCTCACCATTCAAGTAAGAAATTATATAAACTGGGGAATTAGAGAATGAGAGCGTAAAGACTTTGCTGATACTGAGCTTAGAGATGGTATTTGCTGTATCTGCTTCAAGTTTATGCCTGACTGCTCAGGATCTTCAGGCTGTAGTGCTTTCTACATCAGGACTGTGCTTTGCTATTTAAACTTTTAGTGCTGAAGTGGAGTGACTTTGGTGTGGCAGATGGCACAGCAGAGATTTCTGAGACATCACTGTTCTTTGGCTCTTGTCCTTACGGCAGCTGTGTGTGGTTAGGGAGCTCAGAAATGCCTGACGATAATTACCTTTAATTTCTGCAGGCAGCATCGTGGTGATTTGGGGACTGTTTATTCTTTTCTGTTTGTTCCTTGGTACCCTTTCTGTCTTCGTTATGCTTCTGATACAACTGTTTGGTAGAGATTTGTTGTAGTTTGTTTTGTTTTTGTTTTTTTTTTTTTGTTTGGGGGGTTTGTTGTTTGTTTTTTTTTTTAATATAGTGCCCTAGATAATTTTTTGTCTTGTCTTTTCTATGAACATTTAACTCAAGGTCTGAATTCACTTCCCATTCCCTGTTTATCTCCTTATAAATAGTTTCTTTACTCTTTTGTATTTTTAAACTAAGTAAAGTTTTATGACTTACAGTATTGAGAACTTGAATAAACACTGACCTAGATGAAAATATATACTAGGATATTGGTTCATCTCTACATATGTGGGTACACAGAAATGATAAAATGTTATGATAAAAATCTCCATGTTCAGACTCTGTATTTTTTGTAACCTTTAAAATGAATGAATTCTTTGCAAATGGATTAGAAGTATAAAGGGAAAAGAGAGTAGGCTGTGACTGTGTACAATTTGTGAAAATACTTCAGTGATGGCTGTACCTCAGAACTTGGAGTTGGTTGGGACAAGGAGGAAAGGTGCAGATGTGCAGGTAGGCAGGCAAATCACACAGGTTCCTGGAAATCCTGAAAACAGTAAATTCCTCAGAAGACTTGTGCTGGTGCTTATTCTTTGAACTTCCTGAAAATAATGTGAAATTCACTCAAAGAGCAATCCCACTTCCTTTCCCTAGAAAAAAAGTGGAAAAGTTCATAGGCTATTTTATCTTCTCAAGAAAGCGTGTGAACAGCTTGATCACTGAAGATGTTTTCTTTGATGGATTAAGTGTGAGTGATGGCAGAGAATTTGTAAAAACAGGAGTTTAAACATCAGGATCTTATATCTGCTTGATAAAAAAACCTGTAGCATTTGCAAAAGAACTTTAAAAGGTGTTAGGAAAAAACCAAACAAGTACTGTTATGGTCTAGTGATCTTCTCTATGAAGTGAGGACTGCATTAAATGACCTAAAAGACAAGACTGCTGGTGATGTTTTCTGGCTTTATTTTTATGTTTATATTTAGTGTATATTAATAATGTAATCAATACAGTTTTTCATGTATCAATGTCAAAGCAGTAAACCAAGTTCCTAATTAGTGTAGGTAATATTTGTTAGATCTGGCGACAGTGCTTTGGGAATATCGGCGTGTGTAACTGCAGTTTGGCTTTGTGATTGTTGGGAGGCTCTTGGGGAAGGTGGAAGGAGGAGACAGCCTGGAAAGAAGAGGTCTTCTGTAATGCCCATCTCGTAACCTGACATCTCTGACATACTGATATTAATCAGGAATATCTTGCTGAAGTTATGTATGTATCCATATGTGATAGTGTATGTTCCTCCTCCATGAAGCTGGAGTCTGTGGATTACTCTTGCTTGCTTAAGTCATATTGAAACAATAAGGACTTTATGAAGCCTTATGGAAGCAGCAGAGCTAATCTAAATGTCGAATTCATAGCAGCTTTCAAAAAAAGTATTTTAATTTATGGATGTGTGGCAGTATAGGATGTGAAAGTTATTAGTTCACTTCAATCAGTATCTAATCTCTCAGTAAGCAGTACTTTGCAGAAACAGCAGATTATTTAATTCTGTTTTGATGTATGATGTCTTCGTGGGTTGATACAACATGGACCACCAACAAAAATCGTATTTTTTTTGGTAAATGCAATTCAGTAATTTTGTGGAGCTATTGCAGAGTCAGTTACCAGATAGCTGATAGGAAGCGTTTAGCTTCCTTTTTAGCAAATGACAAAAGCAAGTCACACTATACTGGGAGGAAGACAGTAAACCCGGTTAATCCATAACTGAATGAATAAACAGTGACACCCGTGGAGGTCTGGTTGCCTAGCCTTATCCCCTGTATTTTCCTGCAAGATGGATGAACTTCGGATAAAATATTTTCAGTTGCGTCTTGCCAAGAGTGAAAGTAGTTTGATACTGTCTGGAGGAAAATCTCATCTCTTACTGACCAAGTCAAAATGATAAAGCTTAAAAAGCTTACTCTTACGAAAAAAATACCAGGAATCTAAATAATAATTAAATTTTATGGTAGTGATGGTAAACAGTAGCCTGACCCTACTCTACTTCTTTATTTTACCCTTAGAAATCAGTTGCTGTTTAGTCGCTTGAACATCTGCCACTAACCCCCACTTAATGCTGTAAAGTTGTGCTGGTCTTAATGGTCTCTTAAAGGTGGGATCAAGTTTGTAGCTACCCATATTGTACTTTTCTAACATATCCAATGTCATATTTTCCAGTAGCAATAAAGTTAATCCAAACCAACAGACTTGAGAAAAAGACCAATTTTGGATATATACTATAATAGTACAGAATTGATTGGCCCATGTTAAGTGGCTTTGCGCTATTGACAGTAAGGAATACTGTATCTTACTAGTGTACTTGGAAATTTTGTAGCAGCCAAATAAGTCGAGCAGAAAGTGATCCAAGTGACATAAAATGATATTTGAAAGTATAATCAAGAGAGATACTATTAAATAAATATTTTTGTTATATATGTAAAAAAATAGAAAAAGAAACATGAGCGAATTAAAAAAAAAGAATGGTGTACTGAAATAACTCAACTTTAAAATAGGTTTCAGAATAGCATCACATAACTGGACTAAAAATGTGTATTGAATTTATTTGACTTATTGTCACTGAAAAGAATTGGTTTTTTCTTCAAATTTTTCGGTGCTGCATTCTATAGTATGATATTACATTTTATTTATTTATATTTTTCCAGGACTGACAGCGGCTGCCATGGCAGAGGCTATGAAGTTACAGAAAATGAAACTTATGGCAATGAATAGCCTTCATGGAAGTGGAAGTCAAAATGGAACAGAATCAGAAAATGAAGAGCTGAATTCTAATGCAGGTAGGTAATGCTGTGCATGTGAGCTGTAGGGCAGCTCTCAATACCCGTTTTTTGTGCTTGGGAAACAAAATCAAAAACCTATCTCAAACGCTTGTGCTCTTTTATTTTGTAAGCTTTGCTCTGCCGGTGTCGAATTAACATTACTCCAGTATTCCTCCAGTTCTCCTCCTAAGAGCCATCTTCAGTAATTTTTAAAAAATATTGGTGAAGGATTATTTTCATTATGTTAGAACACAGATGTTTTAAACTGTTCCCTAAATATATTTGTGGTGACAAAAGACTTCTCTATCAGCAATACTAGAGTGAGTCTAGAGTTTTCCTAGTGATGAAAAGTTTCCAGAACATCAGGTTGTTGGAACTCATTATGAGATCCACAGTTTACTGGAGAAAGTTAAGGTAGGGAACACTAAATCACCAACTTTCTGGCTTTTCTGCATTTTGTTCTTTCATTGAATGGATATTTGCAAACCACACCTATAGAGGTCATGATAAGTTTCTTATGGTCTACCTGTCAGGAATAACCTTGAGGCAGAAGGCACTGACACTGGACACATGTTCAATCTGTAGTACTATAAGCATTAGTATAAACTGGAGCTAAGCTTGTTGAGTCCCAGCTCCACAAAATGAGGTTTGAAGTTTAAGTCAGAATGGATCCTTTGAGGAGGATACCTTCTTTGTTTATTCTAATGTGCTTTTCAGGTGAATACAGGAGATTTTCACGTGTAGTGTAGAGAACTTAGAATAAGATAGAAGTGTTTGGTCTCAGAAAGCTGCTAGACACCTGTTACAAATAAGGGCAGGTTCACTTGGACTCACTTTTATCGACACAATTCTACAATCCACTCTTACTGTTTTGGAAACTTATGCATCCTTTGTTTTCATTACCAATTCAAGAACAGAGACACTGTCTGATCCCTCACTGCGCTTTGATCTCCCATCGGCATTCACATGTGTCTGAAGTCACACATGCGTCTCTAAAGACGAAGCCATTCAACAGTTTGTTTGGATGGTGTGTGGTGTATAGTGTACATGCATTGTACCATCAAAATGGTAATTTATTAGACCAATAAAGCAGCAGCTGGGAGGTCTTAGACTCATTTTCTAAAGGAATAACTTTGAATTCATGACAAATTATGCACAAAGCAGTCTTTCCAAAAGTGGTATTGCCTTTTGCTAATTTTGTGTACTCATCTGTATTGAAGAAATCTGGCTTCTAATTCATGCGTTAAAGCCTTCCTCAGCTTTCTCTTCCGTAGGATATGTTTCTTTTTCACCTCTCAGACCCTAATCAATTAGTGCATATTCAAATCAGAAAAAAAGCACTGAAAAAGCATATTTAGTTTTTCGTAACTCTTACAGTCTGTATATAGTTCAAAATGAATTATGAATTTTCAATGAATGCTAAGAAATATGTCTGAAGATAGAATTCCTACAGAAAAGCAGGAAAGCTTCATGCAGAAGAGATGCAGGGTAAGTATCAGGGTTTTTAGAAGCTGCTGTACAAAAGCTTGCTAATATGAATGTTCATGGCTTGGTGTGTTACCTGATAAGGCAAAATTTATATACTTCTGGGGAGAATTTACAGCCCATTAATGATATTATTTTAGGTACCTCGTTGGCAAGTTTTATTGGGGACTAGCATACCAGCCTTTCGAAAATACGTCAAGAGTATGCATATTAGATGAAAGCTCTCTGTGGTTTAGCAATTCAATGAGTTCTACAACTGACTCAATAACAATTTAAATATTTGGAAAATTTCCCACTGACTTTAGCTGAAGTTACAGTAGGGCTCAAGGATAAGGATATGGTGTCAGTTATGTAAAGATCTCTTCTTAATTCTTTCCCCTTTTCATCATCTAATGTAGTAAAATTTCCAACAGCAAATTTGCTGAAACGAGTGCCAATGTTGCTTGCACATAGGGTAATAAGTCCTTAACAAAAAGAACTACAACTAATCATGTTAACAATTACAATTTCCCTTCTTCTTACTATCTGCAATGTCAGCATCAGGATCATTTTTGTAATGTATGGCTGCTCTTTTTATTGGAGGATCATTTTTTAAAGATTTACATTAAGCAGGTACTGCAGGATGTGTCAAAAAGTCAAACCAAAATGAAGGGAATGTAAAATGTAACTATACATTTCACTTTATGAAGTAACTGAGGAATTATCAAACATTCAGTACAGAAAACTCATTGGAGACCGAGGCAGGGCATGAGGAGATTGGGCATTTTGTTTTAAAGTTGGTACACATTTTGTAACTTTGATTCACTGTGAAGAGACCACCGTGATAATTCTGTGTGCATGAAACCTTTCCCAAATGTTTGGTTTGCTCTAGACGCTTACAGTTTAAGTGACTATTAAAAAAACAAAATGGGGATGTGAAATGAGAAAGAAAATTGAATTCTGAAAACTTTTTTTACTAAGAAGAGGTAAAAAGAATCAGAGCAAAGGAGTCAGAAGCCTCATAAGTGAGAAAAACATTTTATTTTAGGAGAGAGACCTACAGTTTCTTTGATTTGAGGTTGTGTTTAATAGCTTCTGTGATGGCTGCAACATGACTCTGCATCTAGATTTCAGCATGAATAACAACCTGTTCGTGTTTCATTTAGCTCCAAATGAGAAATTCTGTCTTTTATTGTTTTAGGAAATTAGTCTGTGTACTATTGCTCCTGGAACTTTATAATTAATCACTAAAGGTTATGGCTGCGGAGAGTTTGTGGGAAATAGATGTCTGAATGATTATAATTGTAGCTGTCAAATCAGAAATATAGTTATACAGAGCAGAGGACCTTTCGCTTCCTTGGATTTTGTTTTTCTTTTTACTGTAACAAAGAGTTGAAGGGTTGCAGTTTTACTTAAAAAAACAACTGTAGAGGCTGTTGGTTTTTCACCTCGGTGTTTCCCATTGACTTCATTTGGCAAGCCTAAGATACACCACTAAATATTTCACATTAGGTTGTGTGCCTTCCTCCTCGTTCTGTAGTCTGACAGATGAGTGGAATAGTCTCTTTTGCTGTTGTTTGTTTTGAATTAAAAATTTAATTGATCAGTATTAAGTCCTGAATCTTTACTGCCAGATTTTTTGGAAGTATGTTATTACATACAGGCTGTTAGTGTAATAAAAAAGTGGTGAGGGTGTCTTGTCATCTTCATCTCAATCCCCATCTGTATCTGTTGAGGTCAGTATGAAATAATTTTGGATTTGCTTCTTTAGTAATACCTAGAATGTCACTTGTGTAGTTCTTTTCTCTGTATGTGTGTGCACCTATGAAGATGGAAATTTTTCAAGAATTTCTGTATCTGAAGCCAGAACTCATGCCATCAACTTAAAATCTGAACCCTAACTCTCAGGATCACCGACTATAATTCCTCAGATATTATACTGTCCTTTAGGAAGTTACAGGTGTGGAACTGAATCTTACACACGTATCTAGGGACGTGGGGAGTGGATGTGCCACTCTTCTCCCACTCCTAGTCCAGCTGGCATGCTTTTGCCGTCAGGTCCTCCCTGCCTCCTTTTTGTGATATTACAATAATTTCAGTAGTGGTGGCGTTTAGTACTGGAATATTCTAAATACCTTATTCAAAAAATGCTGCAAGACACAATCAGTGTGAAAGAACAGATGTACCAGAAAAAATTTTGCCTGTATTTTTTAATTGAGGTAATGCATTAGTTTACAGTGCTGTGAAGAGTGTTGTTATACGTTTGAACATTAATGTCCTTCCATTCTCTCTGCAGAAAGAAAAAGATTTTTTTTGCACCTTCCTACTCATCGTATGAAGTGCTGAAGCAAATTCTCAGGCAGTTGAAAATCTCATATTTAGTCTGGCCCTACCATGTTCCCTGGCCCCAGGGTCCAGCCAAGCTGTGCTGGCTGTTCCTCGTGGCGTAGGGTCTGTCTCCACCTTCTTGTCGAATCGGGGAAAGAAGATGGAATTCAGAGAAACACATAGTTGGGGGCATAGGTGTCTGGAAGTGGGAGAAGTTACATCCCTCTGAAATCTCCAGTTCCCAGTGGCCGTAAGGCTTTCGTAATCCTGATCCTCCTTTTTGGCTGCTCCAAGTGGGACCTTGGAGATGGGACGGTTTGTTGATGGGAGTTGGTGCAGACATCTGAGGACCGCCTGGAGTCCAGAGGGTTGCCTTAGCTCAGGCAAGTCATGCCGTAAAGCGTGAGTGAGAATACGTGCCAGGAGTGGTGTGGCCTTTCATATTCCACTTTGGAAGATGAGTAGGATCAAGGGTTTGAAGCTGGCAGCTGAAGGCATGTATACTGGATGTGTGAGCAGATCTCTCAAAGCCCAGCCGTGTAATCAATTATGTTGTTCTGTAGAAGTAAGATAAACAAACCACAACCTCTCTGGTTGCACAAGTGTTTATAAACATCATGTGTTTCATCGTCGTGCAATGCTAATATTAGGTGAAGTGTATTCTGGAAATTAGCATATAATTGCCTAGAGAAATTTGAAACCTATTTGAAATCAGAGCTTTTTCTTTTTTTTTTTTTTTAATAGCATGGCACCAGGTAGTTTGTAGCATGTGACACAGCTGGAAGGTGAAGGGTAGATTGCAAAATACAGAGCTGGTGATATTACCTGAACATCCTGTAAGGGTGCTGTGTTGCTGTGTTACACAGCTGCGTAAGCAAAGAAGGATCAGTGCAGAACAGTCCGTGACAGTACCTGTTTGTACAAAACCTCAGTGCAAAGAATAAAGCAGTTATTTCCTTCTGTTGGCTTTTGGAGTTAGCATGCATGATTTAATAAATGTATTTTGCTTTCCCAAGAGAGATATCAAACAGTACTAAGTGTTTCAGTGGTATTTCCTTAGGAAGTCAAAATGTTATTCTGTATGTAGAGTCTTGTTGCTTGATTTCCAGACAAGGAGCTAAGTTAGGCAGAAAAGAAAGGAAAAACACCCTAGCTTTGGACGTATAAGGATCAGAGGAAAAGCTCTTCCTAGGAAAAAAAAGGGGCTTTTTTCCCTTCAGTACCTG